TGCAAGTCTCAGAGACAACTCCAGTACTACACATGGAGTGAGAGCTGAAGAACAGACAAGCTGTTTTGTGGCTTAAAAAAAATAATCTTAAGTGACCATCTGCCCATGGCAACATTTTTTGGAGTAAACCAGAGTTCACAGACAGTGAGGATAATTTTTGTGGAATCTGTTCCCTTTAATGCATAGTGGAGTGGAGCTCAATAAAGAGTATTATGTATATACATCTCCCCTGGAGCAAGGTGCAAGCTACCTAAAGGCTGCCACTGCATCACTTGTGCCTGCTGTGCATTGCAGTATAACTAGCTCCCCCTCTTACTTCTCTCCCACACATCAACAAATTGTAGGTTAGAATCTGGCAGTGGCTTGTGTGATGATCCAAAGTACTTTGGACTTTAAGGCTGTGTCCTGACGAGCATGGACGTGTGTGTAGCAGGACACTAAGGTGCCTGCTACTGAGCGCGTGCGGAAGACTCCTCAGGTGCTGGTTGCCAGGGTAACGGGAGGCAGCAAACGACCCACACCTGCCAGCGGTCAGGGCTATAAGAGGCAAGGCCTGGCTCTTATGAGAGGAGGGGGAGCCAGACCAGAGGCAGTTGCTGACTGGCATCTAAGACAGCAGGAGCTCCCTGCCAGAGAGAGAGAGAGAAGCTCCTGGAGCATGATGTGAGGAGAAGCCTGACTGCAGGTACTGCTTGCAGATTAAAGGGTAGCAGCTCCAAGATGGCTGAGCAATGTCGGTACAGCCAGAGGGCTTAGGTTTGAGTTGTAGCCAAGAGGCGTGGCTTAGGTTTGAGTTATAGCCAAGAGGCTTGAGTTTATGTTGCAGTTTGTTTAACACTGGTGGTTTGGGTGAGGCTATAAGGGGATGGAGGAGGCCTCACAGGGGACTCGTGGTAGAGTGAGGATCCCAGCCCCAGTGAGGGCATGGAGTTCGGTGGTACAGACCCCAGCTCCAAAGAAGAGCCCATTGAGAGGGCAGCCTTGCAGAGGGAGGAGCCCGATGAGAAGGGTGGCATATAGAGAAGCCGCAAGGCCTAGACACGCCGGACACCTGGAGCAGGAGAACCGTGGCCAAGTGGAGGAGAGGTAGCCTCCCTACAAAAACGCTTATCATCAAAGTCGTGGCGGGGGGCAATAGGAGGATGCAAGTCCGAAGCTTGGCACAGTAGGGGAGGCGGCAAGGGCTAGCATGGCGACCCTGCCGTCCCTCCTGTTACAGCATGGTAAATGGCACCACCTATCTGTGGCGCAACACACTGCAAATGCAGGGAGTCCCCGTGCTGCTACCTTGCAGTGCAGGGGTGGGGGTCTGGCCCTGGGAGATCCCCGAGTCAAAAAGAAACCATGCCAAAGAAAGCGGGGCGGTACACATGGTGGCAACACACACAGCCCAAAACTGGAGCCTGGCCAGCTGGAGCTATGCTCCAGCTCCTGCCCAGGATTTCTGCCATGGCTGGAGCCCAGGGAGTCCCCCAGGACCACAGGTAAGGCTGCTGGGGCCAGTACAGTTCCTGGCCCCAACCTCTCCTACTCCACCCTGACTAACCTGCCACATGCTAGAGTATGTGTGGCATGGGTGGTCTGGGCAAACAAATGTCCACTCGTCTGGACATGCCTTAAAGGATAAACTGCATAAAGTTTACCTGTAGCTACAGTCTTCACTGTTTCCAGAAAGGGCTTTTTTTCAGTGCAAGTTTGTGGAGATGATGAACGCAGAATGTCTTGTTTCTTTATTTAGAAACAAATGGACTGAGACACTTATCATCCTACTTCCTCCACCATTGCAAACCATTGTATGGGTTTGTGTGCATCTGTCTCCTTTCTCTCTCAGCATCGTGAACCCCCACCCCTGGGCTTAGCTGTCCAATGTTGTATTCTCTAGTATAGTTGCATTCCCTTCCTCACCCCCATTGCTCTAGCGTTAGTCCCTTGCTTGGGCAATTTGTATTTCCCTACTGGCTTTGTCATCTTTTTGGATTCACATTCCTAAACATCTACTAATAAAATTCAATCTGTTCTTCCCCATAGGTTTCAAGGTCTTGAACTCTGGGTTTTATTTTGTTTGTGGGTTTTGGGCCTTTTGTTTGGCTTTGGGAAGGGGGGGGGGGGGTGTTACGTTCCTCTGCTGTGCAAATTCCTTAGCAGCAGCATGTCTGCACTTCATGCTGTATTGGTATCAGCATTCATCCTCCATGTATGGAAGCAGCATACTCTTTTCCTTCCCTCTGGAGACTGGGTGCTGTACTCTTATTACATGCATGATCCAATAGATCTAATAAAAGTAACTTTTAGAGACATGAAACTTTGTGTGGACAGTAGAGTGTTAGTCAATATTGCAACACTGTTCTAGATGACTTAATGCTCACATGGAATGGACAATCTCACATCTTGAACAGATCAGCTTGTATCCTCTAGGCTTTGTTTGGCATTTTTTAGTTACCACTTGTTAATCTTTTCCCCTTGTTGTTTCTTTCTTTTATTTTTCCCTTTATTCACACTACATACTAGGCTTGGGGGAAAGCCTTCTCATTTCCCTAGTGTCTTTACATCCCTTTTGCCTCACTAAAATCCACCCCTTTAACTTAATCTTCCAGTGTCAAGGAGGGTGCTCTCTGCTTCTGCTCTGATTCCCGAGCCACGCATTTGTCTATTTAGCTTACTGCCAGGCATCCTGTAGAAGAATGAACCTCTAGACTTGGGAATCATCTGATCAAGAACATTTGTTGGTTGATCTGACTGCTTGTGTAATGCAAGAAAATGGTGAAAGCAGCAGCTAGGATGTTAGCCTGTAAGTTAAGAAATATGGGTTCAGCTTCTTGTCTACAGAGACTTTCCCTATAAGACCTTGGGCAAATCTGAAAGCCATATCCAAAAAAAAAAAAACAAAAAAAACACAACAACTCCATATTGATGTGACTAAATGGATGTCAATAATCGATAGGAGTTTAGGGATTGAATACTTTTCCAGATCTGGTGGCCATGGGCGGGGTCCTACAGGAGGGCCGTGATCTCCCAAGGCCCACTTCCCATGCCAAGTTGGCCCAAGGGCACCTTCAAATTCTCACCCGCCACTCAAACATCAAAGATGTAAGTTTGGGAGGCTGCCTTATGCCCTCTTGGTCACTTCTCAGTGTTGATTTGGACCCCGTGGTTTCCCGGACTCTTCGTGGGTCTCACTCTAGGACAGGTGCTTCCCAGGCACCCTAGCCTTATGGGCTATGCGTGGCTCCAACCACCCCTTATACCACACCCCAAGCCTCGCAGGTGGAATAGACATTCGTCTGTCAGATCTACACTCACCCTCTCCCGGGGCCCTCTCTGCAGCGCCACCCTCTCAGGGGCCTTCTCAATAATGCTGCCCCTTTTTGGTAACTGCCCCCTTCTCTGGGGCTCCTCAGTACTGTTGCCCCCTCTTCGGGCCTTCTCGGGAATGCTGCCCCTCTCCTGGGGCCCACCGCACTGCTACCCCCTCCTCTGGCCCTTGCCATGCCCGCACCGGGCCTTCTCGGGAATGCCCCCTTTCTGGCACTGGGGGTCTATGCACCCCATATGCAGCACCCTTTCTGGCACTAGGGGGTCCCTTATGAAGCCTCCTCCAACCCCCAATAGCCTCACCCAAACCACCAGTGTAACAACAACAAAGCAAAACACAAGCCCCTAGGCTATAACTTAACTTAAAGCTGCCTGGCCGAAACCACATTGCTCAAACATCCCAGAGCTGCCATCCTTTACCCAGCATGGGCTGTACCTGTGGTTCTCAATATCTTTACTCAGGGAGCTCCTTTCTCTCCAGCTGCTGGCAGGGAACTGCCTCTGGCCTTAGCTCCTTGGGTTTATAAAGGGAGCCAAGCCCTGCCCCTTCTGGTCAGCTGACCTCTGGGTTGCCCTGGCAACCCACAGCTGGGCTCCTTATACCCTGCTAGGACTTTCCCCGGCAGTTTCCCCTCTTTAGGAACAGGGCACCTCAGTGCTCTGTGACACTAGCCTTTAGCTTCACTCTGCTTTGTCTGTAAAATGTGGTTTGAACTTTCCTCTTGGTCAAGCAGCTATGCTTCTGAATGACCCTATGAATATGAACAAAAAGGCCCTATTCAAGCAAGGGCCAGGATTCAGGTGTATTAGCCCAGGCAATTATTTAGCTGGAGTGGGAGCACCTGGGTTTTTAAGTTACCCACCAGCTGGTTCTGTCTGGAAAAAGAGAAGTTAAATTAGCTAAGGTTATGGATACACACAGCCTATTTTAAATGCAGTTTAAAATTGAAACACAGATTTACAAGCCAATTTAACTGGTTTGCCTCGACCTTTCCAGCCAGGAATGGACTGAGGTAGGCAAATTCCCTTTGGAGTTTAGAAAATAAAGCTAATTTTATTGAAAGTAGTGAATTATATAACTTCTGTCTCTCCCCATCCCAGGGAACCCACTGACTCCAGAGAGGAGAGTGCTTCAGGCAGGAGTAACGAGCTAGAGAGAAGGACATGGCCCCTACATGAAAATGTAACAAGGTAAAGTTGGAGGGAAATGGAATGATAGTTTTATAGCTGGTTGGGGTCTTTCATGAGGGAGCCTGGTTTACCCTGTAAAATGTTTTCTATATTTGGAAGAGGGGTGGCTTATTGCTTGCTTTCTCTTGTAGCATGTTAAGTCTGGGCTTTCCATTTCTCTACATTCTCTTGTAGACATAGTGCAAACATCTTGAACACTAGCAACGCCAGGAATTTCTAATGAGAAACTGTCTGGTTCATCTCCTGACATGCCTTGGATTAATATCTGTATGCTCTTAACTAGTATACTCTTAACTTTGGGTTTGCTGGATGTAAATCTCTCCCAAAATTCAAGTTTTAAAATCATACTTTCCTTGATTAGCATATGCAAGACCCAGTAAAGATATTCCCAAGCAGAGAAAATGGCAGTGGTGTATTTTTGAACTAAAACACTTCAGAGGTGCTTTAGTTCATAAGTGCACCACCACCATTTTCTCCATGCTGACATGCATTTCACCACTTACACAACTGCAAGTGGTGCAGCGCGGTGTGTGTTGGCTCCTGGGTGGAGCAGACTCGATTAATCAAGTCTGCCCCAAAGCAACGGATCTCCAGGGCATCTGAGAACTAAAAGGTGTGTGTATAAAATGCCCTGTGTGCCTTAGGTCACTTTGCTCCTTCTTGACTGGGGGTGTGCATATGTATGTAACATACTGCAAATGTTTCTGTCTCTCGTTACCTCTTTGCCTTTTCTCCAGAAGCCAAAATTGCTAGAGGTGGTTGCTATGGTAATCTTGTGTGAAATTTCAGAAGGGCAGAATTGCAAAGTTTTGAGCTATAAGTGCAATGTACAAATTGTCTGTGGAGAAGTTATTCAGAGTCTGGTATCTTTGAAATTATAAGGGTTTATCTCTTTGTATTTTGAGGACTTGAACCACAAGAGAAGTATATTGGTGAGAGAAGTATATGGGAAACCTCATGAGGAGAATGTCGAACCACAACCTGATGAATAGTGTAATTTTTATCCCCTGCTTAAATTATGGAGAGAAGTAGTGGTACATGGATTTTTTTTTTTTTTTAACAGTCTGGAGTATCTTGACGTAGCCTATTTTCTAGAATTACTGTGTATATCTGCACAGCCAAATGAAAGTGTAATGGTAGTGTGGGTACCCTGGATCCCTGAAGCATCTGTGTTCTGGCTGCTGGCCCATGTTGAAGCCTGTGTTGCTTTGTTTCAGATGCTATTTACTTGTGCTAGCTGGATTAAAGCATGCCTATGGGAATGCCTACCTGTACTACAATTTGTTTTGCTGGTTAGTCATATTTACTGTTTGACCTTCCAGAGAGAGAACTGTGTGCGTTTGCCTGAAAAACACACTTCTCTCCACCCCTGCTGTGATATAAATATAGAGGATGGCAGACAGCATGTTAGCTTAAGTCCTAATCTTTTCCAAAGATCACTGGCCATTTGGTAGCACCTGATCGGCGTGTCATCTTACAAAGCTTACTCTGTACTTTGGATATGGACATCTCAGAGCTATAACTATTTTTTTTCTTGCTGTCCCAGGAAAGAATCAATAACAATTTAATTTGTTAGAGGACTTTTCTCACATTGAAAAACATGGAAGAAGTTGAATGAACGATTCTAGCAGCTCTGCCTGAATGCCTTCACTCTTGTCTCCTACAATAACATCAGCTATCTGTTGAAATTGGGCTGCACACTTGCGGTGAATTATACCTGACTTGTGGCTGGCTTCCTTTGAAATCTGGCCTATACTTTAACAACAGAATTTCCCTCCCTGGTCCTCATTGTTTGCTAAATTAGTGCAGTCCTGATAACTAGATTGGTTTGTGTCTTGATTGGAGCAGGTTTGCAACTTAAGGTGGATTCTCCTCTGAGAGAGAAAAGGAATGTACAGGAGTGCTGGAGTTTAGTGATGTATTAAAAAAATAAAAATATTACATGAAAACTTGCATGACTAAGTCTGCAGCTGTGCATGTGGTTGCTTGGTGGGTTTTTTTTATTTAAACCAGAGTTTAAAACTTTTCTCTTAACAACAACAACAACAACAAAAAAAAAAGCAGTCCTTCAAGATGACAAGAAGAAATGCAGTCTGTGTTCAGGGATCAGCAACTGCAGCAACAGGAGTTTAAGCTGATTCACCCCTGTCCTGAATTTAGACATGATTCGTAGCTGATTTCTAGGAAACAGGAAGGACAATGTTGCACTGGTGGTTTGGAATGATAGTAAAAATGTGCTAGGACATGTGCTTTTCTGTATCTGGTTGAGTCAAACTCCATGAAGCCAGAATATGGTTCTTGGAGAAATTATGGGGAAATTATGCCCTCAAGTTTCCATTGGCCTCCCCGAGTATTTAAATTGCTGGAAGAATTAATAATACTTGCTAGGAGCCAAAGCTCTGGGGAGGGGGGCATTGTTCCATTTTATCAACGGAGGTTGCTGGCGCAACAAACAGAAGCTTACGTGAGTGTAAGCTACACAACACTGGTGCCCCAAGGGAGCTACCAAGGCTGGAAACCACCCCAATTAATATTATTCCTAGTATAGACAAACAGCTGCCAACACCACGTCTTATAGCAGGCAGTCTTTTCAGGTAGGGCTGCAGAACCCTTGTGATCCCACCTGAATTCCTGTGTCCATTTGATAAGAAATGGGCAGTGAGTTTCCTTTCCTTCTATAGACAGTTATCAAAGCCTCTGAAAGAATGCTAGTTAATTTCTGGGCTAGCCTAACATCAAATAGCTGCTTGAGATATTACTCTTCTTTGATTTCCTATTCTCTGTCTCTCTCCTCTCTCATTCTTTGATCCCTCAGAGTTCACTAAAAGTCTCAGTGACAGCTAATGTTGGACAAAGCGTGTTGCTTTGTGCCATGTTTCCAGTGACGAAGTGACTGGGCTCGCTAACGTGGATCAGGATTCTCATACTCCACTGGTTTGCTACTTCCTTTCAAGGGGGGCAGATCCCAAAAGCTGCAATATTTTACAGTTAATCTTTTACTAGAGAGAGGTAGTTAGCTGTGTTAGTCTGAAGTCAGGCAGAAGCCAGGATAGATTTGCACCTTGTAGATTAACTACATCTGAGATGCGTAAGCTTTTGTAAGCAGTAGCTTACTTAGCATTTGATGAAGTAAGATGCTGCTTGTGAAAGCTTATGCATCTCTGATGTAGCTAGTCTATAAGGTGCAAATCTACCCTGCCTTCTGCCCAATTAATCTTTGACTAGTAGAGGTAGAGTGGGGACGGGGAATATCCTGGTTAGTGATAAAAACCTGCCCAAAAGGAAATCTTAGTAGAGGGTCCTACAAGGTCCCAGAGGCCCTTTGTTGTGAATTTACTTTGCTAAAACAATAGAATAAAAGAGGTGGAAGAGTGAGAGAGAGGGATGAAGGATTTAATGAACATGCACTTGATTTACTTGTCTTTGATTCTTCCATCTGCTCTAATGAAGCTTTCAGGGTGGATGTTGTAACCAGCCATCCTTGCATATACGTGTTTATGGCTGAGTTCAGACAACCTGGGTGTTAAACAGAGGTGGATCACAGATCAAACCTCCAGCCTCTATTTCCAACTCTGTTTCCACTGTGGAAGGAGGTAGGGGAGAACAGAGCAGGTAAATGAGTTTCAGAACAGTTAAAATGGAGTGAAAGTCATGCAAAGATGCAAGCAGGTCATAGCTGGGCAGTGGCTTCAAGGTCAAGGGAAGAAGATGGAACCCTGATAGCCAAGGGAAGCAATAGGTGAAATACCTGTTTATCAAGTAGGTGAAATATCAAGGTGAAGTAGGTGAAATGTCAAGTTTATTGCTGATCTGAATGTGTAAACCTCTAGCATTTCCTGGGAAATGTATATATGGGATAGTCAGAGAAACAAGTAAGGTGTCTTTTGATAGTAGGGTGGACAGGCTGACACAGAGAACAACTAGCACCATGGTAGCATTTATGCTGGATATTTATATGGCACTCACTACCATAGTATTTAAACAATTTGCTGTCACAAATCTGTTGTAGCATTCCTGTGACAGGCTTCTGAGGCACGAAGACATTAAATGATTTGGCAGAGTTCCTACGGGATGTCTGTGATAGGGCTGGGAATTGAACTTAAGTCTCCCAAATGCCATAATAGTTCCCTAATTACTAGTCTTCCTTCCTTACCATCCTCCACAGTGGCTATAGCAGCCTAACAAAGCAAAGGTTGAGGGGAGATGCAAATGTTTCCCAGAAATCTGTGAATATAAGGGGGAACACCAGGAAAGGAGTACTATTTAATATAAGAACAATGTAAAAGAAAAGATGGGTGTAAGCTAGCTATGAATTATTAACTTTAGACGGTAGAAGAGAGTTTTGGAATAACCTTCCAACAGAAGTACCAGAGTGAAATGTGGTATTTTAAAGGGCATGCTATACACCCTTCAGAAGGTATCTGTAAATTGGCAGTAAGGTTTCAGATTTGATCAGGTACCTGGCTGGTGTGAAGTATTAAATGGAATCATTTAAGGTTTCTATTTATGTAGCCTGTGGTGGTGGGAAAACAAGTGTGGTGCATGTCAAACATGAAGTGGATTCATAACTGAACTATGAACAAGAAATGTGGTAGTGGCAGATGCAGGCTGTTTGATCAGAGGGAAGAGTTTCAAGCTTCCTTTCTTGCAACGTGGGTAGTTTCCAATCTGTCCCCAGATAGCCCTGCTGGGTTTTTCAGACTTGGATTCAATTGAAATATTGCCACATTTTAATTACTATACAGTTTTCAATGCTTTCTCCCTTTTTTAACATGGAGATAATTTGTAAGGGATACTAGAAACTCTAGATTCTGGACTGATAAATGGAAAAATGCAAACACCCCATTGTGTCTAGCTTGTTTTCATTTAGAAAAGGCTATAAATGTTCTTCCCTGGATGATGAGCATTGACCTCACTTGCATTTAAAAAAGGCCTGCACCAGGAAGCACATGCACACGTGGGACTGATGACTGTCATGCAATGTAATGGGTACAGACATC